GCTATGATGTAACCTCGATTTTATTATCAATCGACCTTGGCCATATGATTGATAAGTATATCGACACAATTATCGAGACAACCCAATCCACATTCGTATGGACCGTTCGAAGCAACCTATTGTTAATAGTGTTGCTCACGGTTCGTCCCATTTCCTTGGAAGGCTATGTTATTAATTTGAAGCCCATTAATTTTGAGTCGAGCCTTGTTTGGTCCACAAATTAACCCTAACCTAACTTACCTTGTTTGGATATGGCTTATATTCTTGTCTCTCTCTCGGCCTCCATAGTAGTATGCCCAATCTCTCTCTGTGAGACTTACCTCTCGGTTCTTTCATCTCTTTTCTGTGACCTTTGTGGTTAATTCTTAGTGGGCATATTATTGGATTTCATCTTCCCAACCTATAGCAACCGAAAGTGGGGCGGTTCTTGGTAGTGGTATTGGAGTTGTCTCAACCTTGGTGATGTCAATAAAATAGATGAAACTGAGTCCGGTTTAAACTTGGTGTTTGCTGGAAATTAGCACTACAATTACAAATTGAACGAATAAGGTCGTAAGGACATTTCTTGTTGATTAGTAAACCTCAATTCTAAGAAACGAGATCTTATACTTCTAAGAAGATTAGTGAGGAAAACATGCGTTACACGTTCATTGGTGAATGTTAAATATAAGTGTATATTATATTCACCGATTATCTTAATGTTTGAGATGAATTTTTTTTTCTAAAAATGAAAAAAAATAAGATAATGGCTAAAATTGAGAGTCCTAATTTTAAGGATTATCCTCCAATAAACGGAATTCAAATCCGACTTAAATTCATCGAGATATAATGAAAACAAAACTTACTAACAAAATGAAACAATGCTTAAACGAAGGCCTAAACGAAATAATTTTCTCAAAATTGGCTCCACATCAACAACAAAGCTGCTGATTTTTGTTTATTGGTATGCTTCTAATTAAATTTGACAAAATTTTTACCAAAAATAGACAACTTCAAAATTTCTCCAAAAATCGAAAAATGCTTTTAGCTTAAAGAAAGGAGGAAAAAAAATTCAAGCAGCATTGTTCTCCGCTCAGAACTGAGTGGTGCAGTGCATCTCTGTGCAGTACAGAGAGTGCTTTCCATTCATCAAGTTATATCTCCATTCACCAAGTTCCCACAACTGAAATTGTGAAGACAAGATAAATGTAAATAGAAACACAGTACATACTACAGAGATAGCACTTTTGTCATGAGAGATGATAAATATAAGTAGTTAGAAAGCCACCTATGTCTATGAGATTATATGGTATAAATAGAAAAAAAAGGGTTGAACCCTAACCCTGAGGGCCCCCACCGCCCCTCCCCTATAGCTTTGTGAAGGAGGTAAATTATGGGATGTGTCCCAACAGGTTAGGGAATAAGAACTACTTGTACACTGCGCCTACAAAGAGTCTCATTCTATATTTTAGGAATCAAACCCCCCATACTGCGGCTGCCAGCAAGGCGTGAGATAATCTCACTCATGTCCTGTGCATCACTGGGCTATACCCCGGAGGGCTTATATGGTATAAAATGAATGTACGCTAGATGCATATACCAGTTACACTAACAAATAATGATCCATGAAAACATTCCAATTTAAAAGTTTAAAATATCAACATTACCCCAAACACAAAGAGTTCGCTTAAAAGGTCTGCAGCAACCTGAACAGCTTTTTCTTCATTTAGAGGACATGACCATAAATCTGCCTTTGCAGAGTTGTTGTGAACTGATGGTTATCCTGTAAAAGAATTAGAGGAAGGAAGATTATAGAAGTAAGAAAATATAATTCTGTCAACAGAAAGTGATGCAAACTTGGAGCGCTCCTGTTCCCATTAATTTGGATATCAAACTTTTCTTTTTACGAAGCATAAGTAGCAAACTCAATACCCCTATTGAAGAGCCTCTGTCTCTAGAAAACCATTTGTTTCACATAAGAATCATTGAATGGCATTATATTAGATACACATTTTTGAAACCATGAGAGAAGTATATTTTATTGATTTGGTAAAAAAATAAAAATTTATCAATCAAATCATCAAAACTAATCAATCGAATAACCAAAATAACAAAAACATTTAATCTTCATCTCAGGGATATGATGAGCACCCTTTGTACCATTTCTTATTTTATCACTTTCTACCATTATTGGAAGGGCAAATGGTGGAAATTTTGTGCATGTTTTGTAAGGTAGATTGGATGGAAAGTGTTAAAAAAGAAAAAGAAGAGTTTAGAATCTTGTTTATATGCGCTGTCCTTTTTGTAGGATTTAGAGAAAAAATGATTTAAAGCAGCATGGCCTCTTCGCGCTGCGCGAACAGTACATGTAGCACTCTCCATGCTGCACGGAGAGTAGGAGAGTGCACGCAGCACTCTCCATGTTGGCACTCGTGTCATAATCGGTGTATTGGTTCTGCTATAGTGCCCTTTGTCCTTCCAATAATGGTAGGAAGTGATAAAATAAGAATGGGTGGTGCTCATCATATCCTTGAAATGAAGATTAAATGTATTTGTTAATTTGGTCCTTCAGTATCCCTTTAATATGAAAGTGCAAGTGTTAAATTTACAAGCATTTCTCGTCCTTTCTCGTCTGTTACGCTTGAAAATCGAATAATTTCTAAAAGAAATTAATTTCAATAGTAAAGTTCTTACAAAATTATTTTAGAAGCTAGAATTCATCATCATCTCGAAGCTATCCTTGAACTCGTTTATGTAAACCTAAAACGAAACATGATAATCAAATGAAAATATAAGAAAAATGGTGATTAATTTAAGAGAACAAAAAATCGAAAAGCAGAATCCATAGAAACAGAAAGAGTAATTAGTACAAAATGTTCTTACCTTTCAATGTTATTGTGCAAAACGTCATTACCTTTCATTTTTTGGCATTTTTACCCATAACTCCACATTTTATTGCTGAAATCATCATTTTCAACAATTTTTTCCATGTAAAATGACAAATATACCTCATATTTAAATAAAACAATAAAAAAGAAAAGAAAAGAAAAGTTAAATAATAAATTGCAATCGCACTGCCAAACTTTTTTAAAAAGTGTAAATGAATCCAAATAAATTATTAAAAGGGTAATTAGCACAAAATGTCCTTACCGTTCATTTTTGAAATTTTCACCCTTATTTTTATATTTCAATGCAAAAATCATTATTTTCATCCATTTACTCAATTAAAAGCTGTAAAATGAAAAATATACACTCCTACTTAAATTCACAAAAATAAAGAAAATAAAATAAAAATAAAGAACAAATTGCAACTATACTTCCAAATTTTTTTAAAAAATAATAAATTTTAATTAAATAATTAAAAAACAAAAATCACTTTATATTTTAATTATTTATTTGAAATTTATTTGTACTTTTTGAAAATTTGGAAATATAATTGCAATTTGTTCTTTATTTTTATTTTTATTTATTTAAAGACGAGTGTATATTTGTCATTTCACAGTTTTTAATTGAGAAAATGGATGAAAATAACGATTTTCATAATGAAATATGAAATAAGAGTGAAAATGTCAAAAATGAAAGGTATGAACGTTTTATACAATAATAATGAAAAATAGGGACATTTTGTATTAATTACCCTTTTACTAATTTAGTTGGACTCATTTGCACTTTTTAAAAAGTTTGGGATTATGATTGCAATTTATTCTTTTACTTTTTTATTGTTTTATTTAAATAGGGCTACATTTGTCATTTTATGATTTCCGTAATAAAATGTAAAGGTAAGGGTAAAAGTGCCAAAAAATGAAAAGTAAGGATATTTTGCACAATAACGTAGAAAGGTAAGGACTTTTGTACCAATTACCCAAACAGAAAACATACATAGAAATTACAGAGATTCTTGATGATATGTGACATGGAATTGCTCGTCTTGGGTTGTATAAAACAATGAATTTGGTCATGGGTGTTGCAATTTTGGTTGAAATTGGAGATATGGTTGTGCGTGCAAAAGAGCTTTTGGGTCAAGATTTGATTAGATTTTGGAGGTATGAGATTGTGGAGTGGGGTGGGTAATAACTGCTGCTTTCACCAAAATACAACAAGGGGTGGAATATATTGGAAAATCACATGAAGAAAATCAACAAAATAAAGAGGTAAAATCTTTGATTTTTCCACACACAGCACACACTAAGTAGTTGATAAACAACATTTATGTATTATTCTGTAAATTTTTGGAGGAACCCAAAACACTTGACACTCAACTTTTGGACGAGGCTCCGAAAAAATTCTTCTCTTTCAAGCTTTCAACAGTTTCTTTGATGCTTTCTTTAAGAGGGGTAAATTCAATACCCAAGGTTTTTGCCTTCTTGTTTGGAATGGCGGAGTTGTTGAAGAGGCATGGTCGGTAGTGCAAGAAAAGGTGAAGGCATGGTTGCGTTTCTGCCTTATTTAAGAGTAGGTTTTTGCCTTCTAAAGAGTAGGCATGGTCAGTAGAGTAGGTGAAGGCATGGCTGTGTTTTTGCCTTCTTTGATTTGTTGAAGAGGCGTAGTCGATAGATTTCTACGTTCTTTAGAGCGTTTCTTTATCAGATTGATGTGAACTGAGAAAAAGGTGAAGGCATGGCTATGTTGAACTAATCTTTTGTGAAAAAAATGAAAATAAAATAGGGAAATTAGTACAGGACGATGTATATTTTTGACATTTGCCTAGCCATTCATTCGCTCTTTTATATGTTAGGAAAGTGATGAGAATAATTTAAACAGTCAAACTTTGATATTTTTTTCAACTTGTTTATATTGGAGTAGCTTAACTAACTCAAATCTTTTGGTCTCAATAACATGTTGATAGTAAATTTCACATCCCTTAAACAAGAAAAGGATGAACAACTTACAAAAATTTGAATTAACATTTTAAAATTAAATTTCAAGATCCAATAATTTTTTCTTTAAAAGTGTTCCAGTGCTTGTCCCAAGGATGCGAAATGCATATGCATTTTGTTCCTGATTGGACTTTGAGTGATAGATGAGGCTAGGAAGTCAAGATGATAAATTTAAGTGAATAAGTCCCACATTTCTAGTGACGAGGCCCTTCTGTAGAGGTAAGCCCCATTTTAGGGATCAATGATGCTACATTGACGGGGAAAACAATAGGGTTGTTCCCAAGATGACGTGGCATTTAAAAAAAAAAAAAAAAAAAAAAAAAAAACAAAAGAACAATCAACTTAAAAAACACGCTTAAAATTCCCTTCTTTCCCAAATCTAGACCCTCAAAATCTATTTATCCCTAAATCAAAATCCACATAGTTGGTAGTCTGTCATCACCTCATCATCTCCAGCCGCACTTCAATTGAAGTTGTCGTCATTGCTCTGGTAGCAATTCCATCAACCATTTCTGTTGGTCCCAATTAAAGTGAATCTTTACCTTTAGAAACAAATTTATTTGTAAAACTCAAAGTAAAGTGCTTCAAAATAATAAGAACACGAGAATTTTTCGGCCAAAGGCTCGGAGGCTCCGTGATCACTTCTAACGCTTAGTCCCCCATTGCGCATCATTAAAGATATTGCTTGAAGCCAATATAAAGCCCTCAAAAATGGGCAAAACAAATACAGTACAGAACCACGAGGTTTCAACAGGAAACCCTAAACACTTGAATTCTCTGTTCTGACAAATAGTTACAAAGAATATGTGTTGCCTAATCCTTTTCTCTCAAAATATCACTCACAAATTATCCAGAAGATGAGGAATTATAAACAGACAGAGGGAGTTCCAAGAACATGAAGCCTAAGAGAGAAAGTCACAGGAAAAATGAAAACCCTAATGAATATAAAACATGTTTATATGAAAAAAGGGCCAAAAGTCAGTTCCAACGGTCCAATGCATTCCTAGTGTTAATCATCCATGAAGGTGCATATATGTATCAAGTGAAAAACATATTTTTCTCCATTCTAGAATCATCCACTAATTGGATCAAAAAAATTGATTAATTGGGCCGAATAATTAAGCTCAAAGACAGCTTACTGACTAGAATATTCATTTGACTAAAAGATGTAGCAACCCATTTCATCAATCTCCATCTTTGCTGCATTTTGAGACTTTATAGTAATGGATTCGAACTCTATCTTAGATAATTTGCTCTTTTTTAACCCTTTACGAAATAAAAACTAATTAGTTTCAAGATTCAATAATTTCAAAGAATCCTGAAATTCATTCAATGGTATTACCTTTGTGCCTACATTTGTTGTATTCAATTGAGCAGGTATTTTAACAAGTTTTATATCACTCTTTTCAATCTCTGATGAAGTGAAACTTAACATCTATGTATTTAGTTCTGTCTTGAAACATAGATTTTTTACTCAAGAAAATAGCACTTTGATTGTTTGAACAAAGCTCCACCTTATTTTCTATAAATCTTAATTCATTTAATAGACCTTTTAATCATAAGCCTTCTTTTACAGCTTCAGTAGCTGCAATATATTCAGCTTCAGTAGATGATAAGGCGACTACCTTTTGAAGCTGAGCTAATACAAGTATTATTTATCACATAGAAATATGAAGAAGTAGATTTTCTATTATTAGAGTTTCCAGTAAAATCAGAATCAACATATCCTTTCAATTTAAGACCATTCTTATTGATTTAAGTCCTAAATTCTGAGAGCCTTTTAGGTATCTAATTAAATATTTCATGGATTCCTAATGAATTTCACATGGATTGCTCATAAATCTACTCAAAACACTTACAACAAAGTCAATATCAGGTCTAAAATATGCCATAACATACATAACAGAACTTACATCATTTGCATAAGGCACATTTACCATTCTGTTAAATTCATCTTCACTTTTGGGTGACTGATTAGCAGATAACTTCACACATGTAGATAAAAGGAGACTAACAGGTTTAGATTCATGAAGTGAAAACCTTTTAATATTCAATGTAAGATTATTGTGTCAGAAATGACTTTTCATTTATTCTAGCCTTTTTATTTCCGTGCCCAATATTCTTCTAACGGGTCTTACATCCGTCATTTCAAATTCAGATTTAAGTTTTTCTTTCAAGCAATCAACAGTTCTTTATCATGACCAGCTAAAAGCATATATGGATTTTTTCAAAAGACACACTAAGTTCGTCTCTTCCTTTATTTCAAAATCTTTTGTTTGAGTCATGTACATGGTTTTCATCTAATGTACCATAAGGAAAAAAAATTCACATCAAGTTGTCCAACCTCGAAGTTAAATTGTGCCACTAGAGCAAACAAGATCCTAATAAAAGTGTATTTAACAACAGGTAAAAATATGTTTGTATAAGAAACCCTTAGCTACTTGTCTTGCTCCCTATCTTATATTACCACCTTTTACATCACCTTCTTTAATTTTATATACTTATTTGTAATCAACTAATTTGTAACCAGAAGATTTTTCCACAAGATTCCATGTTTGATTCTTATATAAAGAATCTATTTCTTCTTGCATTGCTGCAAATCATCTTGCAGAATCTTTGCAAGATACAACCTCTCTATAAGAATTAGGTTCAAAATTTAAGGTCTCAGCTTCAACTTGTTCAATTGCGTAGTTTGCATGTAAATACCTAGAGGAAGGAGGGAGGGGGGGGGGGGGCATTTTTGTCTTTTTTCTCTATCTCTAGCAAGTTGATAACTCTGCAGATTGATAGTAGGATCTAGAACTTGAGGTTATTCTTAAGGTTGCTCCACCTCAATTTGAGTTTGATTTTCATCATTTTGCATATTAACCTCAATCTCTAAAGACACATATTCTTTCTCAGTCAGTTTCTCTTTGTTTTTGTCACTAAGGCAGGGGAAAACTCTTTATTAAAGATAACTTATCTACTTAATATGACCTTGTAGCCTCTAATATCTTTCATCCCTAATCCATAGCCTTTGGTCCCTTCTCCAAACCCAAGAAAAACACACTTATTGGATCTGGGATCAAGTTTAAAGCTAGTATGGTATGGAAAAGCTACATAACCAAAGGTTAAGATAAGAGTAATTACACATAGTCCCAGTCCATAGCTTCTCAGGTATTTGATAATCTATGGAACATTAAGGGATTCTATTTATAAGATAATAGGCAGTTTTAACAGCTTTTCCCAAAATATCTTTGGTAGACTAGAACTGATTAACATGCATCTAGTTCTTTCAAGGATAGTTCAATTCATCTTTTATGTAATTTTATTTTGTTGGGGAGTATAGATAGCAGTTTTGTGCCTCTATATCCCATGGTTACTACAAAATTGGTCAAATTCAACGTTACAGAACTATAGACCATTATTAGTTTTTAATGTTTTTATCTTCCTATCAGTTTGATTCTTAATCATTATTTTCCAGTTTGTAAAGGTCATAAATGTATCTGATCTATTTCTTAATAAAAGGCCCATATATTTCTAGAGAAATCATTTATGATGAGAAGATAATATCTATAACCTGAGGCTGTAGATACAAGTGCAGGGCCCCACAGGTCACATGTATGTAGTGAATAACATTCAGAGATTTATGTATGCCAGTATTAAATGGTAGTCTATATTGTTTCCCTGAGATGCAATGTTCATAAATGTTAACTTTGAACATTGTATTTTCCAAAAACACATTCTTTTGAAAGAAATTTTAGTCCACTCTCACCAAGGTGACCAATTCTCCTATGCGAGATTGAGTCACTAAGCTCACAGTACTATTAGGGGACACACATTCAAAATTTATCACATAGATTCCAGTAACGTTTGGTGCATTAACAATAAGGTTATGATTTTTCATTATGTTTATAAATCTTTTTCTGATTTCTATTTGATAACTTTCATCATCTAAGACTCCTAAGGAAATAAGATTCATTTTTATAGTTTCAAAAGTATTATTTGGCTGTTCACAAGTTTTAAGACAATGTTTCAAATGCCTTTCACTTCACAGGACTCATTATTTCCCAATATCACACAGCCTCCATTTAGTTTTGCAAAATCAGAGAATAATCTAAGATTGGGACACATATGAAAAGAACAACCTGAGTCAAGAAATCAATCTTGATTTGTTCTTTCATGAGAGGACACATAAGTAACACCAACGTTAGCTCGTGCTTCTTTGTAAGAAGCAATGATGGCAGAAGAGTCATCGTCATGGCTATAATCATGTCTTTGATCATTAGCCATTTTCAAACAGTCTTTGATAAGATGACCTATCTTATCACAGTAATAACACTTTCTATTTTTCTCATTTCCCTTACTGTTTTTCTTGCCCTTCTCTTTATTATTTCTCCATTTCTTCTTAGTAAAATTATTTCTGTGATTAACCTGTCTATAATTGCTAACTCCTTTTAGTTTGGACTTAGGATTAGGTAGAGAAGTCTTAGCGTGAAGAGCTTCTCTATGCTCTATCTTAATTCTAGTTCTCTACTCTTTAGATAATTATGAATTATATCAATAGTCAGGTCATCCCTACGATATTCTAAGGCATTCCTTACATCCTTGCATTTATCACTAAGTGCATTGAGTAGACTAACTACTTTCTGATCACTTGAAATTTTCTCACCACAGTTTTTAAGATCTTGAGTGATCTTATTAAACCTGTCCATATTCTCTTATAAGTCAACACTTGGATCAAACTCTTGACTAAAAAAATTTTTCCACGGAAAACATTTGTTTGGTAGGGGTTTAGTCAAGTATTGTTCCTCTAAGGCATCCTATAACTCAGCCACAGTCTTAGTTTTTCATACTTTTCTGATCATGGAATCAGAAAGGTGAAGGAACAATGTACTAGACGCCAGTTTATCATGTTCAGTTTTCCTATCAATGGAGTATTTTTTGCCAAAGATTCATCTAGAGCTTTGGCACACTTTAATTGTAACATGAGTGCTTTCATTTTCTAGCACTAGAGATTGAAGTCTCATTTGCCATCCCTTACTTGAACATCAATCTTAGTAGTTATTGTGTCCAAGAGAATAGCAACAGTAGTCAAGGATTTTAGAATTAGGGAATATAAGGTATCACACAGATCAAATAGATGTGTCAAAGGAATTAAAACAAGAGGAAAACAAAAATTACACAAAAAATTTATATACTGAGATATGTTTATACTCAATAAACAATATAGATACAGAAGATGCAAATTATGCATACAATTTTCACTATACAATATGAAGCAGGATAAAGATAACAACATGTCGTTTATACAAATAAAAAACTAATCCAAGTAATTCAAGACAGTAAAAAGTATCACACAAACTAAATATCATTTCACGAAAGAAATAATAAACAAAATATTGCCTATGGGTTTCCTTAGGCCAAAACCTTACATCCCTTTGATTCTAGGGCTCTTTGTAGGATCCTTAGACAAAGGTAAATACAATGGGGCTTTTCAGGAATTCGATGAGAAAAAAGGATAGTAATTGTTTTGAAAAAGATTAGTTTAGATATCTGTCACCAAGAACTGCAGAATCATAAAATGTTTTTTACGAAAAAAGAAAATACTAAGGACTGGATTTTCGAAAACAAATCAAGTGATTTCTTGACCAAAATAGTGATAGATCTTTGTAGATCTACGATTTTACGAAATTGAAAATAAAAAATTAAAATAGAAAAAGCACAAAAGGAAATTCTAAATGAAATATGATACCATTGTTGGTCCTAATTAAAGCGAATCTTTATTTTAAAAATGAATTTGTTTGTAAAACTCAAAGTAAAGTGCTTCAAAGTAACAAGAACACAAAAAAATTTTGGCCAAAGGCCCCGAAAGTTCAATAACTACTTCCAATGCTTAGTCTTCCTCCCTAAGTATATTGATCGAATCCACTATAAAGCCCTAAAAAATAGGCCAAAAGAGTACAATACAGAACCACCAAGGTTTCAATAGGAAACCCTAAACACTTGAACTCCATTTTCCTACAAACACTCAAAGAATATGTGTTGCCTCATCATTCTCTCTTAAATACAGTAATCTCACACAGAAATCACTCATAAATCATCCTAAAGATGACGGATTATACACAGATAGAGAGAGTTTCAAGAACAATAAGCGGAAGAGAGAAAATCACTCAAAAACTAAAAACCCTATTGAATGTAGATAATATTTATATGAAATAAGGCTAAAAGTGAGATCCAACGGTCTAACGCATTCCAAGTGTCAATAATCTATGAAAGGATATAATATGCCCCGTTTGGAAAATAAGGAACCAAATAGACATCCAGAGATTGAAGAAAGAAATAGAACTAAGTTACAGGTGGAGTTAGGACAACCACCTGATCCTGTTGAATATGAACATGTAGAGGATAAGCTGAAACTGCTTCTGAGCCTCCATATATAGAAGAGAGTAGTGCCCAAAGGAATGTAGAAGGTCGGCTTGAAGATGTGAGAAATTACCAACTAACTAGAGACAAGCCTAGAAGAGAAATAAGAGAACCCATTAGGGATAAAGACTACTTTGTACTTGCTGTCCTCTCTTATCGGGACCAAGTCTTTAAAGAACCAAAATCCTATAAAGATGCTATGAGAAGTCGGCAATCTTAGAACTGGTAGGCTACCATAGTAGATGAGATAAACTGCTTAATAAAAAATCGGACTTGAACTTTAGTTCTTAAACCTGCAGGAAAGGCACTTGCTGATTGCGGAGGAAAATTGAAAAGCAACCTATAAGATTTAAGACTAGACTTGTAGCTAAAGGCTTTACACAAAAAGAAAGCATATATTATAATGAAAATTTTTCTCCTATGGTTAAGTATATTACAGTTAGAGTTATGCTTGCTCTTATTGCTCCTTATGATCTTGACCTTAAACAAATGGATGTAAAAACTATCTTCTTGATTGGTGACCTAGATGAAGTGATTTATATAAAACAACCATTTGGTTTCATTGATAAATCTAAACCTGAACATGTGTGCTTATTAAAAAGATTTTTATATAGTTTGAAACAATCTCCAATACAGTCGTACAAAAGGTTTGATAATTTTGTATCTACTGTTGATTTTATAAGAAGTGAATTTGATCTCTGTCTTTATTTTAAAAGAGGTGCTGAAAATGTTATTGTTGCCTTCATACTCTTATATATGGATTATATGCTGCTAACTAGATAGCACATGCATGTTATTAATGAGATAAAAAGATCCTTAAATGCTGAATTTGAAATAAAAGATCCAGGTCATGCTAAGAAAATTTTAGAGATGAAAATCATGAGAAAATGGCATAACAAGTTGTCAAATTTGAAGCAAATTGCATATGTAGAAAAATTGGTAGCTAGATTTGTTATGCATAATTCAAAACCATTACACTTCCCTTAGCTAGCGATTTTAAGCTAAGTAAAGAAAATGTCCAGTAGATGAAACTAATATCAAGCAAATGGAAAAAATTCCTTATGTTAATGCAGTAAGATCAATTATGTACATTATGGTTTGTACAAGACCTGATGTGGCACACTTAGTAGATCATGGCCAATCTAGGACCTGAACATTGGGTTGCTTTAAAATGGTTGTTGAGATACTTAAAGGGATCTTCACAATTAGGTTTAACTTTCATTGCCCGTAATGAAGGTGCAGTACTTAAAGTTTTATTATTATTATTATTATCATTATTATTATTATTATTATTATTATTATTAAGACTTCACTGGAGATAGTGGCAACATGAAATCCACTATAGCATATATGTTCACTTTGTGTAGAACTTGTGTTAGTTGAAAATCCCAATGTCAACCTGTTGTAGCCCTATCTACAATGAAGCCAAAAATGTGTCATCACTGAGGCTATAAAAAAGGCCTTATGGCTTAAGGGATGCTATTTGAAATATATTCAGATAGTTAAAGTACTATTCACCTGTGCAAAAATCTAGTTTATCATAAAAGACCAAACATATTGACGTTAAGCTGCACTTTATTAGAGATGCAATTTCTAAAGAAATTTTATTACTTGAGAAAATTACTACTCAATTTAATCCGGCCGATATGGGTACTAAGGTACTACCTTTAAACAAGTTTGTATCTTGTTTACAAATGTTGAACATTGATACTGGTTAACTTTCGATTCAGTGTAGACATTAAACTTGGTGTCAACTGGAATGACAAGAAGCTACTTTCATCGAAATGAGATATAAACTATAGTTATTATGTTCTTGTATGTACATGGCATTAAGGTGGAGACCTATTGAGCTGTGATGCCAAATCTAGCCCAATAAGTAAGGCAATGATAAGAGGGGCTTGGCCCATGTTCCACCTATATTACAACCTAAATAGTAAAACTGAATAATCCCGTATGTTGACCCTGATAAGAACGGATTTGGCAAATGCGACTTTGGTTGTTTTACCTAATATCTAAAAATGCAAGTTTCTCTGGGGCGTTGGATGAAATGATACCTCGATCTCGATAAATATTCTATGGTGGAAAGAGTAAAGGTGGAGTCCTTTCATTTGGTTCATCCTCTAAAGGGTTTTCTAGAGTGTTTTGTTCTCTCTATCTTTCAACTTTCTCTTTGACGTTTGGTTTCTCTTTAATCAATTTAGAGAGTGTTTTTTCTTTGTGAAATTTGTTGAAAGAGTATTGAGAGTGATGGGAATGTTGAGTCCTTATGGTTCATAGAAGAGACTACACATTTCTGTGGATTCTTAGGTGAATATGGGTTTTCTATGTTGACACAAAAGGGCTCCCTGGTTTTGAGCCTTAGATGATGATATATTGATGTCCAATGGGTAGTGTGATAAAGTGTTGTATAGGTCGAGTCAAACTGTTATTATAATCTTGTTTTTGTACAATACTCCCAAATCATATTCAAAATCTGTAAATATTCCTAACAGGTGCTTAATATAGATCTTTTGTTTTGTTCATGACGATTGAGGTTTTAAGCCAAATTAATTGGTAGTTATGTCTTTCTATTATGGTGAATACAGTGAGTATTTGAGTTTGATCTGCTTCCCTTACAAGCAAACAACAAGGTCATCTTAGAGGTCAAGCACTTGTCGATATTCGCGCTCTCATGGGTTCGATCCTTAATATAAATTCAGAAGCTCACAAAACAAAACGATTGATTCATCCTTCTGATTCTAATTTCTATAACATTGTGAGATAAACTACAATAGGTGATCTGTGGATATGTGTTAAAAAAAAAAAAGCTCCATTTTTTGCTTTTTAGTGTTTTTTATAATCTCCAACTTTGTTTTTTTGTGCTGATTAATTTTAATGCATACCCTACTTCAAGTCCCTCTATATATCGATAGAAGAAAACTTCTTTGGCATTCTCCTCGCCTCCCACCTAAAGAAAATTTTAGGTTGCTACGTGGGGGATCGAAGGGATCGAAGGATATGCTTTTACAAGGGGCCGAAGGATTTTAATGACCTCCTAAGAAGAATATACACACAGAAGTTTTGAGGGTTGTCAACTAATGTTACCCCTTCTATTGCCCTTCCGTCTAAAGGGTCTTTGCCTTTGGAACCTACTCCTCCAATCCCTTGGCCTGTTCATTCTATGTATCTTGCCAAAGGGAAAAGGAAAATGACAAGATCTGATCAACTCTCAGATTTTAAGAGGTATTTGATAGACTAAAGATCAAGAATTAAGTAAGCTAGAAAATTTTTCTATGAACTTTGATTGAAAACTGAGAATACCAAAGGAAAATAGCTTTCTCCATTTCCTACTTCTTTACTCGATTTCTACTTGACTCTTTTCCCCCCTACATGTATATTTGTACTCTTTTCTCAATTAACTCTAACAAACTTACTAACAAATCTACTAACTCAACATTTCTTCTTGAGATTTCCATTGAACCGAGCTGCCACGTTATTGGTTTTCCCATTAAGAGTTTGCTGGCCCTTTTTGCGTCTTGCATAAGTAAATTTAATTGGAGGCTTATCAAATACCCTCCCAATTCAGTTACCTTGTCCAAAACGTATAGAAAAGGAAATTGCTGGCTGATTAGCTCAAACAGTTCCCATGTGGCTTCCATAGGTGGGAGTCACTTGCATTGTATTAAGACTTCCATTTCCTCAGTTGCACTATAATGCGAAGGTCTGAACCCTAGGACAAACGCTAGCTCAACAAGCAGTTCTCAGTCTTTACCAGTTGTAAAGGCAGTAGTGTTACTACAGATGCATCTCCGACCGCCTTCCTCAATTGGGATACATGGAAAACTGGGTAAATTCGTGTGTTGTCTAGCAATGCCAGACGGTAAGCCAGATTCTCATTAGCGCTGCTTACTAGGGATTTGGGCCTATAGGGCCTCATCTTTACATAAACCCAGTCCCCTACTGCATATTCAACTTTTCTTTGGTGTTGATCTACCGCCATCTTCATTTGTTGTTGTGCCTTGTACAGATGGACCTTTAGCTCGTCTAGTACCTTATCTTTCTCCAATAATTGTTATTCTAGAGAAGACACAGCCGTAATCCCTCACTCAAAACGAAGTAATGGAGGAAGGTCGAGTCCATATAGGATGCGAAAAGAAGTGAATTGTGCAGACACATGGTAAGAAGTATTATAAGAATACTTCACCCAATGAAGAAATTTATACCACTGTTTTGGTTTCACCGAAACAAAGCATCTCAAATATGTCTCCAACACCATATTCACCACTTCAGTCTGCCCGTCGATTTGTGGGTGATAAGTCAAGTTTTGCTTCAATTCTATGCCTTGTAATTTAAAGAGTTCCGTCCAAAAATTACTCAGGAACACCTTATCTCGATCAAATACTGTGGAATGGGATAACCCATGTAATTTTACGACCTTCCTAGCAAAGATTGTAGCGACCTCTAGAGTTGAAAATGGATGCTTCAACCTTATAAAATGAGCATGCTTGCTTAAACAATCTACCACTACTAAGATGGAATCGAACCCTTCCATCCGGGATAGCCCTTCCACAAAATCCATTGAAAAATATCCTTCCAAACTTTATCGGGAATTGGCAACAGTTGGAATAGTCCCACAGGGGCAAGAGTAGAAGACTTATGCTGTTGGCAGATTGTACACGCAGCCACATATGCCTGAATATCTCTTCTCATTCCTTTCCAGAAGAATGTTTCTGCCACTCTTCTATATGTCTTCAAGAACCCACTGAGCCCCCAATCTTACCATCATGCCCCACTCGTAAAGCCAATTGGACCTATGAAGAGGACTTGGGCAGCACAAGTCTATCATTGTATAACAAGTGACCTCGCATTAGAGAGTACCCATGAGGGGTGGGCTGTCCTTCCCGCAGGGAAGTGATTAGTGCTCCCAATTCTTTGTCTTCTTCTATGGCTTTTCTAAACATGTCCTCCGCATCTTTCCTTGATAGTGCATCAGCAACCTCGTCCTCTATTCCCGCCATGTATTCTATAATAAAACCATATCCCAAAAGTTTGGTTAGCCATTTTTGATATTCCCGATTCACTTCTCGTTTCTCCAGCAATAATTTAAGACTCCGTTGGTTGGTTCGCACAATGAATCTTCGCCCCAACAAATAATGCCTATACTTTTGTATGGCCATCACAATTGCCATAAGCTCTCTTTCATAAATTCACTTACTCCTAACCCGTTGGGGAAGTACTTGGCTGAAGTATCCAATCGGTCTCCAGTCTTGCATGAAAACTGCTCCTAACCCATACCCTGAAGTGTTAGTCTCCACGATAAATGGCTTCACAAAATCAGGCAACCCTAAGACTGGTACAGTTGTCATGGCTGTTTTTAGCTTTAAGAATGTCGCCTCTGCCTCTTCGTTCTACCCAAAATTGTCTTTCTTTAATTGTTATGTTAGCGGCCATGCTATGCTTTCGTATGATTTTACGTATCGACGATAATACCCTATTATTTCAAGAAATCCCCTTAGCTCTTTAATGGATTTTGGTCTTGGCCAATCCCTCATGGTTGCAATCTTTGATTCATTTGCTGCCACTCCCTTTGCTAAAATAATATGCCCCAAGTATTCTAGCTCTGTTTGCCCAAACAAGTACTTCTTCCTGTTAGCATATAGCTAATTATCAGTCAACACCTATAGCATAGTTCGTAAGGGATCTCGACGTTTCTCGATGGTGCTACTGTAGACCAAAATGTTATAAAAAAACACCAATACAAATTTTCGGAGGTATTTTCTAAATATCTCATTCATGAGAGACTAGAATGTGGCCGGGGTATTCATTAATCCAAATGGCATGATCAAGAACTCGTAATGTCCTTCATAAGTTCGAAATGCTTTTTTTGGCACGTCATCAGACTGTACTCTTATTTGGTGATATCCTGACTTTAGGTCTATCTTTGAAAAGAAGGTTGCTTTACAAACACTCTTCGAGCAGTTCGTCTATTATTGGAATTGGAAACTTGTTGGGAATAGTCACTTTGTTCAAAGCTCGGTAATCGACATAAAACCTCCAACTACCATCCTTCTTTTTAACTAGTAGTACCGAACTGGAAAAAAGGCTAATGCTTGGTTGTATCAATCCTGCTGCCAACATTTCTCTTACCAGTCGTTCAATTTTACCTTTCTGAAAGTAGGGGTATCGATATAGCCGAACACTTACCGGTTTCAATCTTGGCTGTAGATTAATAGTATGGTCGTGGGTTCTTGAAATGGGAAGATATTTAGGCATCTTAAAAACAGATGGGAAGTCCCTTAGTATGTCGGAAATTATGTCCGGGGTCTGGTTAATTTTCCCAGGTTGAACTGTAATATTTTCCAATTCCAGTATTGCTTCTCTCCCTGGGATTTAAGGGCCTTTAGCTTTGATTTCAACGATACAGACGCTCTACTTAAACTTGAGTCTCTCTTAGTGTCACCTTCACTCGCCACGGAGAATGTCATTGTGAGGGTCTGCCAATTAATGTGCATCTCTCCCAATTTGTTTAGCCACTGCATTCCCGGGATAACGTCGGAGCTTCCCAATTCTAGCGGCATAAAATTATCTTCCACTATCACATTCTACAGTTGCAGCTTCACGCCTCTGTAAACTCCTCCCCTTTAATAGTAAAACAGCTCCCCATAATAACGGGGTACTTTTAAGTTTGGCTTTGTCAAACCAACCATTTTCCATTTTAATCATAAAAATCTAACATTCACCATAATAGCCATTTCTTGTGTAAAAGACAAAAACGCCCTTAAATAAGTTATATAATTACAAAAATAGAAATATGATAAAAAGACAAAAATATCCTTAAGTTACAAATAAAAATCCAAACACTTCTCAATTGAAATTTGAAAACGAAGTTAGTCTTTTCATCAGTTTACTCTAACACGATAAAAACTCTTTCATTTTTCATCCACTTCAACCTCAAAATTTCATAAACTTATCAGTTATCAACCTCAACAGAAAAAATTAGTTAAATTTCAGCACTTCAATTCGGTAAGTATCTTTTCGTAGTATTTAATTTTATTTTTATTGAAGTCGTATATTTTTTTTAAATGGTAGAAAAAATAATATTATAGCCAAAGTTCAGGCCGGCACCGATCAGACGTCGGAACGCCGGATTTAACGACGGTTCGGACCGTCAGTTGCGGACGATCCGGACAGTCCCGACCGTCCGTTTGCAGACTCCCCCACCCCTTGATTCTGATAATTTTATTTCTGATAATTTGTTCTGATATTTTTAATTCGTAATGCAGATATGGCAAAAGCATGTGTCCCAATCTGTTATTTCGGCGAATTTCAAAGGAAAGAAAATGGTCAATGGAAATGGAAATGGACGAGTGAAGGAGAAGGGGTTGCTGCTATTTCGATAACAAAAAATACTTCGTTTACAGAAATGTACAGTGAAATACAAAACATGCTTAACGTCGATTTCTCTCAGTACGATATGGAATTGGGATTTTTATTTCAGAAGCATTCAACAATTTCGATTCCACCTTTGAAAGTTACTTCTGAAGCGCAAATAAAGCATCTAATTCAATTGAACCAAGATCGAAAGACGACTCCTATTTGCGTAAGTTTGTTGAAGAAAAATGTCATCGAGGGTGAACACGAAGTTTTTGATGGAGAGGATCGTAATGAGAATGATTTTTGGGATACTGTTGAGATTGCTCGGGAGGATGATGTGGTTATTCCTGGGGCAGTTGCTACTCACCATGATGTCACCATTACACGAAGGATTTACGAGGAAGTTCAAGACAACGAGGATGAAAGGCCATTTACAAATCAGGATTTGATTACTTTATCCAGATAGAGACATGAGTCTGGTGGGAGCTTACATGCTGGGCCGAGTACACGGTCTTCTAATTGTTCGCATGTAGTTCCTGATGATGAAGATTTACATGTCGATCAATTGTTTGACACGAAAAGAGATTTGCAAGAAGCCGCGCACTGAATTGCAATGAAACATAATTTTGAGTTTAAGGTAAAAAAAAATCAAACAAGTCTACATACACAATTATTTGTGTAGACAACAATTGCAGTTGGCGTTTGAGTGCGACAAAGATGGACACAAATGAGTTCTTTGTTGTTCGAAAGTATGCGCGGGAACATACTTGTGAAGTGGGTATTCGTCAAAATGATCACAGGCAAGCTCGATCATGGTTTATTGGTCGACAGATAATGCACAAGTTTCAGGATCCACGGACGATTTACAGACCTACAGATATCATCAACGACATCCGTCGAGAGTATGGGGTGGTTATGAGTTACCAGAAGGCCTGGAAGGCTAAAGAATATGCATTGGAAGATTTAATGGGTTCGACAGAGGTGAGTTATGCCAAATTGGTCAGGTATTGCCACAACATGGTGAGAACTAATTCTGACTCGACGTTTTTTATTGAAATCGATGGGCAGAATCGCTTCAAGTATTTTTTTATGGCTCTTGGACAATGCATTAGAGGTTTTCGTAATGCGATGCGACCTCTAATTCTAGTTGATGGTACAACCCTAAGAGCTAGATATGAAGGAAAGTTGATTATTGCTACTTGTCAAGATGTCAATATCCAAATTTACCCTCTTACATTTGACATTGTCGATGGAGAGAATGATCTAGCAATGCGTTGGTTCTTCACGAAGTTGAGAGAAGTAATTGGGAACATCGAGAACCTTGCATTTATGACTGACCGGGGGCAATCAATAATAAATGGTATAGTCGAAGTTTTTCCAGAAGCACATCATGGTTATTGCATGTACCACATTCAGGGCAATCTGAAGACTAGGTACCGAGGTAATGACATTGTTGCATTGTTTAGGAGAGCTGCAGAAGTTTACAGTTTTGAAGAGTTTACAAAGTTCATGGGCGAAATAGAACATAAATCAGAAAGTGCATGGGAATATCTATCAGATATGGGGGTCGAACATTGGGCACGATCACATTTTCCAGGACGTCGATACAACATGATGACGTCGAATAATGCAGAGTCGCTGAATGCATTATTCAAGAAGGATCGAGAGTTACCGATTCTCGCAATGATTGAACATATTCGCAGCAAGTTGTAACAGTGGTTTTATGACCGACGTGAAGAATCCCAAAATTGCATGAGTGTGCTAGCTCCGGCACAGGAAGATCGACTATTCAAAACTCTGGAAGTGGCAAAAGCTCTATTTGTGGAACCACTAGATCAATTTCGCTTCTCCGTGAGATGCGGGCGTAATGTTGGATACATTGTAAACTTGAATGACAATACCTACACGTGTAGAAAATTTCAGTTGGAAAGTTTTCCATGTGCATATGCTGTCGCAGTGGCTATGTATAGAGGATTTCCACCACACAACTTGTGCAGTCATTATTATATGACTGATTTTTGGAGAGCAGCGTATGCCGAAACTATATTTCCTCTACCAAATGAAGCCAAGTGGGAAGTTCCTGATTATATTGTAGCACTTAATAATTTGTTGCCACCTGAAGCTCCACCGCGTACTCCTGGTCGTAGACGGACGTCTAGAATACCATCTACAGGAGAGTTTCCACAACCGCGTAAGTGCGGGAGGTACGGCGCTACAAGACATACACTTCGATTTTGTACAAGTTAGATCCCACTAAACAATGACTCGACAGATGTGTAGTATCTATATAAATCATATGTATTTTCTATTTGTTATGTGTTTGTGATTTTCTGAATTTAAATCAGATGTAATCTTTATCACATTGTTTAATTACTCTTTTTATTTTTATCACATTTGTCATATGTATTTTCTATGTGTCATGTATTTGTTTGTTTTCTTTTAAAATAAGTGAGACAACGATATATATTAACTAACAATATGGAGAGATTACTATTTCTTTAATTAATTATCTTAATTGGTTAAGTAAAAATAATATTGTTTTTTTAATTTATTCATTAAATATTTCGTTAATTATGTATATTATTTATTTCATATTTAATTACTCTATTTCGATTATTTATTTGAATAATATTTATTCGATTTTTCATTTTACTATTTCTTTAAGTAATTATTTTAATTGGTTAAGTAAAAAAAATATTATTCAATTTAATTTATTCGTTACATATTTCGTTAATTATGTATATTATTTATTTCATATTTAATTACTCTATTTCGATTGTTTATTTGAATAATATTTATTCGATTTTTCGTTTTACTATTTCTTTAATTAATTATCTTAATTGTTTAAGTAAAAAAAATATTATTCAATTTTTTTTAATTTATTCGTTACATATTTCGTTAATTATGTATATTATTTATTTCATATTTAATTACTCTATTTCGATTATTTATTTGAATAATATTTATTCGATTTTTCGTTTTACTATTTCTTTAATTAATTATCTTAATTGTTTAAGTAAAAAAATATTATTCAATTTAATTTATTTGTTACATATTTCGTTAATTATGTCTATTATTTATTTCATATTTAATTACTCTATTTCGATTGTTTATTTGAATAATATTTATTCGATTTTTCGTTTTACTATTTCTTTAATTAATTATCTTAATTGTTTAAGTAAAAAAATATTATTCAATTTAATTTATTTGTTACATATTTCGTTAATTATGTCTATTATTTATTTCATATTTAATTACTCTATTTCGATTATTTATTTGAATAATATTTATTCGATTTTTCATTTTACTATTTCTTTAATTAATTATCTTAATTGGTTAAGTAAAAATAATATTATTTTTTTAAATTTAAATATTTCGTTAATTATGTATATTATTTATTTCATATTTAATTACTCTATTTCGATTGTTTATTTGAATAATATTTATTCGATTTTTCGTTTTACTATTTCTTTAATTAATTATCTTAATTCTCAATTATCGTTTTATGTTTCGAATCAACTATTAAAAAGTTCCAATTAGGTCCCCAAAATTTTTAAAACTTTTTTCGAACCAAATATTACATGAATCGGTCTTTTTTTTCCAATTGCATCCGATTTAGTCCATTTAATTCCCGATTATCATTTAAATTTTCAAAATAATATCATACAATATACTTTATTTCGATTATTTATTTCTTTCAGTACAACACGAATCCTACTGATGTAAACAACATTTACATTTTAATAAAATAATTTACAATGTACTAATGATCACAGTTATATTCATACAAGTCGCAAGCTAATTTATGCCTCCAAATATCAATCCAAGACTGATTTATTGTATCAACATTGCGACCAATGCTCAAGAACTCTATGTACTTGATTGCAAATAAGCCACAGTCACCCCTGCAACCGAAGTAGAAGATATTAGTTCCATAACATATAATTGAAAATTAAATCTGAAAATTTAAAAGTTGTAAATCCTTATGATCTTTCTTGTCTCGCCGTCGTCGTGTTCCGCACAATGGCTAATCTATCATTTACTCGAATCATCGCATGACTAGCCATCATGGGCACGATCATAGCCAATGGCTCCAGTATTTGCTTCAGTTGACTTTGTGTCAGACAGCTATGATCAGAGTCGTACACATATATGGTGGAATCAGCAAATACGATCTCTACCGAAAAACAGTGTGAGTTCGCGATCACTGGAATGTACATATGTGTACAATCCGTCCACGGCTTTCCGCACCTTAACTGTAGTCCAATCACCCACTCCAGCATGTACTCAGACAGAACATAATCATTCCCCTTGCTTAGGAGCTCCTGATGCTCAATATCTACGACACGAACGAACTCAGCGCTCAAGATAACTCGAGTAGGACTGTCATAAGATCTCGGGTATCTCCGCGCCCGATCGCGTAACAATTCCATAGCCAAGTCGATATGCTGAAACAAAAAAACACCAACAAAAAAGATAGAGTCATTTAAGTAAATGAACCAACAACTTGTATAAATATAATAAACGGAAACTCAAAAAACTTACATCATCAACGAGCCAAGCTGAGGTCGTCAGTACATCTTCAAACCACTTTTTAGCATTGGGCACGGTCATACAGCCGATGGTATAACTATCTCTGAAAAATGAAAAAACAGTTACCAAAAATACAAAAAAATAGTAGCAACATCATAAAATACTTACTCGGACTTAAGGGATTTGAACCAATCATCGAACGCCTTCTGTCTGACTGGGTCGACGTCGCGAAAAAGATTGGGGTACGCCCCATCCACAAATCCCCTTCTCTTCGCCTCGGCCGTGTAGGGAGAAACGATGTACTATGACGTCAATCTTGATCTCTTACCGACCATCAGCTCTAGCACGTCAGCAGCACGCTTCTTACCCTTCGGGACCTTCGTCGCCCCCTCCGACACGAATACTACCTCGCATCCGTCATCTCCGGCGTCCTCTCATCCTCCGCAACTTGATCATCCTCCTCTACTACCACCTCTGATGTCCCCTCCGCTACCTCCTCGGCCACCCCTATCCCTCCCTCCACCCCCTCTATCTCTGTCTCCTCCGGCCCGACCTCCACCCCGGGCATCCCGACCTCCTCCGACTCCTCCTGTCCGACCTCCACCCCTTCCCTCTCGGCCTCCGGCACTGAACCAAAAAACTCATCAATTCCCCCGGCCGTTGCCCACCAATCTCGAGGGACACCAGTCTCCCCGACATTCCCTCGGACGCCTGCTACATCGCCTCGAAGTGCTGCAACCTCAGTATGAAGGTCTCCTATATCTCGTCGAAGCACTCCAATCTCATCTCGCAAAGCTACTACATCTGTCGTAAAATCTCATCGCAGCACCCCTATCCCCTCTCGTACTGCGACGATCTCTGTCGTAAAATCCCGTCACAACACCCCTATCTCCTCTCGTAGTGCGACTACCTCTGTCATAAAATCACATCGCATCGTTCCCAGCTCCTCTCTAATAATGCCAGTCATGCGTGCAAAGAAATCATCTGAATGATGGGTCTGACTGGGTGTAGGCGATCCATGTGGGAGGTGGGTGGGTACGGGAGACGGAGATATCCTCGGAGAATGAGATAATGGTGGTAGAGGCGATCTCATCGGTGGAGGTGACGGAGATCTCATCGGTGGAGGTGAAGGAGATCTCCTAAGTGGAAGTTCCGGATGACGCTCCTACACAGAGAAGACAATTAATATTAATAATCCACACATGAATTTATAAGTCAAAATAAATAATGAAATCAAATAAACGTACTATATTTCTATCCGGAACGGACTCAAATACTTGATCATCTTCAGTAGGTGGAACAAGTAATTCACGTACATATATTGCATCCTCCTCTTCCACCGAAACAACCAACTCAGCATGAACTTCGAGCTGACATACCATATTTCAACGTGTTAACGAACATGTATCGAGCCGAGTAAATGTATGTACAATATAAATTGCAAATATATAATACTCACCTGAGGATCGTCGAGGATAACTGTCAAATCTTTAGCCGATGGCTTTTCATGTGCTCGCCAATGAAGCATTCGTGGGCAGCTGGTCTTCCTTCTGATCGCCCATTTGCTACCCAAAGTAGGGATAGCCTCATATGCCCACAACTGCAACAATTACAAAATAAAACTTTACATATACATTTAATAAAAAAGTTCAACACGCATTACGTTATACTGAATATTTACCTGCAAAGCCATGCAAAAGCCATATATATCATATTTGTGATCGCCCCTCTCCGATTTCGGCATAGTATGTACCCTTCTGAATACATGGAGAGTATCGGTGTAACATCTCTGACCCCATGGAAAGCTGTTGAAAGCATCGATATCATCAACAACATCCAATGAAAAAAGATGAATCGACGTCCTACGATGTCGACACCTCAATATACTCTCCAGTATATACACCAATCCTAACTTCAACTTGTCTAACATGTGATCGCATTTCCTAAATGCGTCCTCTAATTGTGGTGGTGTAACTGACCCTTTACCTCCAAAATATAAATCCAATAATCTTTTATTTCGTGTAATACAGGCTCTAACTTCTTTTTCCCCGGTACATCTCAAGCCCGTAATCAGGGCAAATTCAAGGATTGAGAATCTACATACCTTCCCGTCCCCCATAGCAAAATATAACTGATCATCATCGACTGGTTTAAGCAGCCGGAGTAATAAAGAATCAACAATCTGTCCAGAGAACTGCACATCCTTCAACGGATAGAACGACCATAAAAACGATCGACGGAGTAAGTCAATATGCTCCTCGTCCAGCCCCTCAAGTACTGTCGCATAGCTGAAAAAGTTACAATACGTCGTAACTTTT